TTTCGAGTACTCTACTCTATCCGTGCATGTTTTAGGTTTTGGTGCAGTTATACATTTTTTGTAAGTAAACCTGCACGCTTTAGTGTGGCGAACATTAAGACATAACCATATAAAATAAAGCACAGTGAAAATTCCTTGGCCCCACTTTGGATTCAGTTCTCGGCCTCCTCTGACTGAAAACCCCTGCTACGTCTCTGATAAACATCGTTGGTGACCCACGCCCGCGATAATTGATGAACTTTAGACTTCGCTAATGCTTTCGTTTCCCCGGGTGTAAATAGCCGGGGGGGAATTAGTACCCTCGCACGGCGCTTCGCGCCGTCGGCTCGGGGATTAATATACTTAATTTTGTGCAGGTTATATAACGTTTTGGCCAGTCAGTTACCTAACTTGCTTTGTAGTTCCTTTGTCTCCTGCCCTCGTGCACGTTCGATTCAGTGTAACAATATGTCCTCATTCATAGCGATAGTTTTAGTCGATGTCAACATTATATGAGCTTTGAAAGTCAAGCGAGTTCGAGTATTATCAAATTACGCAATTGTCTGAACAAAAATATAGACTAGCCATACCTTTCGCCGAACATAACTTCGGCCCCTTCGGACGTAACTTTGTAATAGTCTTGTTCCAATCGCTATCAAAAACACTACTTAGAGTGTCATTTAATACGAGCCTGTATCTTCAAATCTGCACGTTTATCACGGTATCACATCTATCAAGCAACAAATGTTGGATTGGTATTCGTTGTTCATTCTTCAAGACGAAGCAATTTCCGATTCCAGATAAAGATTAAAGAATTCAATGCTTAATTCTCAATACATTCGTTATCTTTTGGTTAGTGTATGCCATCACTCGATATATCGGTATCAATTACGAAAACAACAGGCAAATAAGTAAAACCAGGAACACCGGAACAACGGAACACCGGAACACGGAACACCGGAACAGCATCATTCCGGAACACGGAACACCGGAACACTAAAAATTCTTAATTTGTTAAAAATTCGGAAAAAAAATACCGGGGTGTGTGAAAATATTGCTGCAATAATTATTGCGTAAAACGTGCCTTTCTGACCGATAGCTACTAATAACGAACAGAAATCCTCGCAGAAATCAGTCTCAAAGTAATAATTATTTGCCCGAAAAATAGAAATCAAACCTAGAATTGTTATTTGTTGAGAATATTAAATGGCCCATCTTTGTTTGTTGTTGAAAACATGACAATCAAAATATTAAAGTAACAACAGTTGATTGGCTTCCTTGTTTTTACCGACTTAGCTACTCTTGAAGTGTAAAACTAAAAGGATAATTTTCAATTCTCGTTCGAAGTTGGTATTTAGCATCACTTTAATACAGACAGTTCTTTAATATTGATCCTTTCTCACACGAAATATTTTATAAGCGGCGATGGATAAAAAACCTTTACTCTTTAGCGTGTGAACCTTTCGCTCAATTAAAATGACAAAAATACAAACAAATATATAGGCCATGTAAGTTGTATATATAAATGATGTTTCAACGCATACATGTGTGTCTATTCGTCCATGTTTAAACTGTAAATTAAACTGACAATCAGTGAGGGAATTTAAGTACGAGTAAAAATCCTACGACTCTATCCGCGTTTTCGCTCGAGTTTTCGCTTGCTCTGAGATTCAATATTCTTGGCCGTCTAGGCTATAATATGGCATAGCATACCGAGCATACTAGCCTACATATAAGAAGGTCGCACACGACGACGCGGTACTAGGCTATCTGATGTCCTGACTCTTGTATATATCATTATGGAGATACTGACACAGTATAGACTATAGGCTATATAGCACGAAAGATTGCATACACTAAATTATTCCATTTTAGGATGCGCCAGTTTTATATTTATAAACAACAACTTGATTCAGTATACAAACATGTCAGCAGAAGATCAACTTGTTGCTTATAAATAAAAAACTGGCGCATCCTAAAAGGGAATAATTTGTAGTGTATGCAATCTTTCGTGCTATAGCTTATACTGTGTCAGTACCTCCATAATGATATATATATAGGAGTCAGGACATATAGTGCTGAGTGGTTATATTACTACCTTAAAAAATAAGCAGAAACTCGACGTTTCGAGCGAAGAGTTAGTAGAAGGGCCTTCGCTCGAAACATCGAGTTTCTGCTTATTTTTTAAGGTAGTAATATAACCACTCAGCACAGCATTTCTACATTGGTACTACCTACACTGGTACAGACAGTTTCAGGACATATAGCCTAGTACCGCGTCGTCGTGTGCGACCTTCTTATATGTAGGCTAGTATGCTCGGTATGCTATGTCATATTATAGACGGCCAACAACATTGAATCTCACAGCAAGCGAAAACTCGAGCGAAAACGCGGATAGAGTACGTCGTAGGATTTTTACTCAAAATTCCCACTTATAAAATATTTCAAGTGTGAGAAAGGATCAATATTAAAGAACAGATCGGAAGAGCGTCGT